GCTAACTCAGATTCTCCTGTTTAGTGAATTGCAGATGTAACTGACATTATTCAAGTTATTATGGCAGGTACAGAAGCTACAGGAAGTAAAACTGCCAGTTACATGAGAAATGTACCTATGAAAATATTAACAAACGTCACAAGAGCTGCCACAGGGATGCCAGTGAGAAGAATGTAATATTTCTGGTGTAAACAAAACAAGAGAGGAGAGAAAGATCGGGAAATTATTTCAAATTATTATAAGAATGAGCATTATAAATAATATGCAACTGAAGCAAAGTATTTATAACAAGTTTTACCAGCAGGTGAAGAAATCTTCTGTCATAGAAGTCAGTGGGCTTGATGATAAACATCCTTTTCCCATGGCTCCCATGACGGACAACAACTGTAAAAGAACAAGGTTAAAATAGGTTAAAAAAATATATAATAGCAAAAAGAAGGTCAGCAAGTCAACACACATTGCCACAGCATTGCTGTCTGCAAAACACCCTTTTTATTCAACAGGAAGTCAAATATAATACAAAACTAACCTGAAGCAAGAGTAACACACAGCTACAGCTGCAAATCCAACTGATAAGTCTTAAGTGGAAGTAAAACTATTACATACACAATGAGGGCCAAAATACTAACTTGGTAAAAACATGTTTGACAAACTTGGTTTGCACATCAACACTTACAAGCAACGGGCAAGAAACTCAAGAAATATTTGGAATGAGAAACTGCTAACTATATGACTATGTAAAAACAGTATATTTACGAATATACATAGCTTAGCAGCTGTATGTGATAGCTAAAGGAAGGTTACAGTTACAGAGGGGATTGCTGTAGAGGCCAGTTTACACTTGACATGCTAAACAAGCAAAGCAAGGTCACTGCAAAACATAATCCTTCTCAACGGTCATGTCGTTGTGTTTAGTACCAATAAATATTCTTTACCTTGTTCTGAACGTGCAACAGTCCTGGAGAGCAGATTTGAAGACTGACAAGTTCGTTTCAGCGGGTTCAATCGGGCTGTAAGAGCAGCCGCCGTCCGCAGAACGCTCATGCCCACCATGACTGTTGAGGGAGTGCGTGCGTGCGTGAACAAGCCAAGGCCTTCACTGATTGGCTCATCTAACGCAGAGTGAAGCCGTGCTCTCCATTCATACTTTGGGCAAAATAAAGGTTCGTAGATGGCCCTCAAAATAATAAAATAAAATACATTAATTTATTCATTTTCATATATAAAATATTTGCATAAACAGCTGTTGATTTTGGATAAATTAAATAAGAAATATCGTAAATAAGTGGATATCTTTTTTT